AAAGGGTGAAAATCAACAAGCTTTTTCAAGGATAGACAGGTTTCTATTCTCTACGAAATGGAATGATGAATTCAGGAATATTACCCAAACACTGTTACCTAGAGTCTCTTATGACCATGCTCCCTTACTGTTAGAATGTGGAGATTGGGAGAATCATGTCTTATTTCAAGTTCGAGAATTGGTGGCTCGGGGTGGCAAGTTTTAGTGACATGGTGAAAACGTGGTGGCTTTCTTTTGATGTACAAGGTAGACCTGATTATATTTTGGCCTGCAAATTGAGGATGCTGAAAGGAAAACTAAAAGAGTGGAATGGTACAAACCGTGGTAACTTTGAAGTAAGGAAAACTCAACTTCTAAGTTCCATGGCAGAAATGGATGTTGTACAGGAAACTAGAAGTCTATCTGAAGATGAGCTTTTGCAGAACGCCAACATGTTCATGGAACTGGAAGATATAGCAAAAAATGAGGAGATAGCTTGGAGACAGAGATTTAGAGTTCTTTGGCTCAAGCAAGGGGATAGGAACACAAAAAATTTTCATAGAATGGCAAATGCACACAGGAGAAATAACACAATTGACAAGCTAGAAGTTAATGGTGTGACGGTGGAGAATCCAGAGACTATAAAAGGGGAAATTCCATCCTTCTACCAAAAACTTTACACTGAAACAGAGGAATGGAGACCAGAGTTTGTTTAGGCTGATTGTCCTTGTATAAGTGAGATTGAGAAGCAGTGGTTACAAAGATCATTTGAAGAGGAAGAAGTTTGGGCAGGGGTAAAATTATGTGCTTCAGACAAGGCACCTGGGCCAGACGGATATACTGTGAGATTTTTTCATTGTTGCTGGACATTGTAAAGGAAGACGTTATGCAAACTTTGAGAAATTTTCATACACAGGAGTTTTTTGGGAAGAGCTTTAATGCATCATATATAGTCCTTATACCAAAGAAGACTGGAGCTCGAGAGTTAAGAGATTTTAGGCCTATTAGCTTAATTGGGTCTGTGTACAAAATTATTTCTAAGGTTTTGACAGAGAGATTGAAAAAAGTGATCTCCAAGCTGGTAGATAGGCATCAGATGGCTTTCATAAAGGGGAGACAGATAATGGATGTAGCACTGGTGGCTAATGAATGTTTTTGATTCAAGGCTAAAGATGAAGACACCGGGAATTCTTTGTAAACTTGATATTGAGAAAGCATATGATCATGTGAGCTGGGTTTTTCTTCTTAAAATGCTGAAATCTATGGGTTTTGGAAGAAAGTGGATTAAATGGATGCTCTTCTGCATAAGCTCAATCAGGTTCTCTGTTCTCATCAATGGTTTCCCTGAAGGTTTCTTCCCTTCACATAGAGGTTTGAGACAGGGTGACCATCTTTCTCCCTTTTTGTTCCTAATAGCAATGGAAGGTCTAAATAACATGATAAAGGTAGCAAATAACAATAGGTGGATGACTGGTTTTAAGGTGGCTAGTAGTGTAAGTGGAATGGAGATAACTCATCTACTATATGCAGATGATACTTTGGTATTTTGTGATGCAAAAGAAGAAGAGCTAAGACATCTCAGGATAATTCTAACAATTTTTGAGGCAGTCTCTGGTCTACATGTCAATTGGAGGAAAAGTCTTCTTTTTCCAGTGACTGATATACAAAGGCTGACAGGTGTTCTCGGATGCACAGTTGGAACTCTTCCCACAACCTACTTAGGTATACCACTGGGTTCTAAAAACAAGTCCTTAGACATTTGGAGTGGGGTGTTAGAAAGATGTGAGAAAAGATTGGCTAAGTGGAAAAGCAAGTACATATCCCTGGGGCAGAGTAACATTGGTTAATAGTGTCTTAGATGCACTTCCCACATACATGATGTCCCTTTTTCCTACTCCTGCAAAAATAGAGAAAAGGATTAATGTTATCAGAAGGAAGTTCATCTGGCAAGGAAATAAAGAGAAGGGAGGTTATCACTTGGTTAACTAGAAGGTTTTGACAGAAAGCAAGAAATCTGGGGGCTTAGGCATATGAAACTTGAGACTACACAATAAAAGCCTACTCTTGAAATGGCTTTGGAGGTTTGGCAGGGAAGATCAAAATCTATGGCGACAGGCCATCACTGAAAAATATGGACTAGAGGGACAATGGATCACTAGAGCAGTGACAACAACATATGGGGTTAGTGTCTGGAGGTCCATCAGGGCTTATTGGCCTCTTTTTGCTGAGAATATTGCTGTTGTAGTAGGGAATGGGAGGAAAACATCCTTTTGGAATGATAACTGGCTAGGACATGGACCTTTGAAAGACCTTTTCAGTGACATGAAAGTTTTGAGTTTGAATCTTGAAGTCACAGTGGAAGACAGTTGGGACCAACATGGATGGACTTTCAACTTTAGAAGAGAACTAAATGACTGGGAATTGCCTAGATTCACTGAATTTTTGAATGTTCTTGATCAGTTCAAGGGGACTACAGTGGAGGAGGATAGGGTTAAATGGACAAGGCATAGTAGTGGCTCTTTTGCAGTGAACTCAGCATACAAACTGCTCAACCAACAAGGTCAGCAAACTCAGTTATGGAGTTGGAAAACAATATGACAAGCCAAAATACCAACTAAAGTAGCCTGCTTTGTATGGTTAGCAGCCAGGGATGCTTGTCTAACACAAGACAATCTAATGAGAAGAGGCATGCCATTGTGTTCAAGTTGCTATCTATGTGGAAATGAGGCTGAAAGTAGTAGCTATTTATTCTTACACTGTCAGTTTGTTAGAGCTCTATGGCACCTATTTTTGAGTATGAAAGGACTGTCATGGGCCATGCCCAGGAGTACAGGGGAGCTACTTGCTTGCTGGAATTTCTCTGGAGACCTGATCAAACAAAAAAAGTGGTGGAAGACTATCCCTGGGTGTATATGGTGGACCATTTGGATGGAAAGAAACAGTAGATGTTTTGAAGGACACAGCAACTCCTTACACAAGATCAAGATGAACTGCCTATTTTTGTTTCACTTTTGGTGTAGACGAGGATGTCACGCACCGTATAGGAGTGGGGTGGATGAAATGGAGGTTAGCATCTGGAGTCCCGTGTGACAAGAAAGTGCCACCGAAACTCAAAGGCAAGTTCTATTGAGCGGTGGTTAGACCGGCCATGTTGTATGGGGCTGAGTATTGGGCAGCCAAGAATTCCCATACCCAGAAGATGAAAGTGGCAGAAATGAGGATATTGAGATGGATGTGCGGGCACACTAGGCTGGATAAGATTAGGAATGTAGATATTCGGGAGAAGGTGGGCGTGGCTCCCATGGACGACAAGATGAGGGAAGCGAGGCTTAGATGGTTCGGGCACGTGCGGAGGAGAAGCATAGATGTCCCGGTTAGGAGGCGTGAGACGTTAGCATTGGCAGGTACGAGGAGTGGTAGAGGACGACCTAAGAAGTATTGGGGTGAGGTGATCATGCAAGACATGGCGCGACTTCAGATCTCCGAGGACATGGCTCTGGATAGGAAGGGGTGAAAATCGAGCATTAGGGTTGTAGGTTAGGGTTGTTCCAGGGGCAGGGCTGGCCTGTTGTTGTTTCGCTGTGGGTTGTTAGTGGTTTATGTAGTTTCCTCACTATTTTCTATGGTAGTATTGTTGTTTATAGTTATTGCTTTTACATCTATTTTTCTATTTCTTACGATGCTGTTAATATTTTTTATCTTCTATTGTTGTCACTGACCTATTGTCTAATGTTTATTTTTCTTTTTCTCGAGCCGAGGGTCTTTCGGAAACAGCCTCTCTACCCCTCTGGATTAGGGGTAAGGTCTGCGTACACTTTACCCTCCCCAGACCCCACTTGTGGGATTATACTGGGTTGTTGTTATTGTTTTGGTGTAAGGAAGCTTTTGTACAGGATGTAGATTCAATGATAAATATCATAGGATCACTGTAGTAGGAGATAGAAGATAGCCGTGGTTTTTTCTCTTTTTGATATATGTATATATGGCCTTAGCACAGCCTTTGTGCTACGATTATATAATTTGTTACCATTCTCAAAAAAACTAACACACAGCTAACTCTTAAGAACACAATAAAGGCCAACCCCTCTTGAGTGCAATGCCAGTACAAGACTTTAGATACGTGCAAATGATTGAGCTATCAGTGGAATATTTATGACTATGAATCTAATTGAATCAACGGTAGGCTTGACAGGTATATTGACTAAGCCGATAATTGTACCCTATATTTCCACATGTAGAATCCGTAACATGCAATATCAACCACAAAATCGACATACAGATCATCCTTAATAGCATAGTAAATTCCAGGCATCTCGAAAGCAATATAATACTAGAGTTCAGATTTTAAAAAAATGATTGAGTTTAGGTTGATCCGATTGAGCCAACACTTGGCCTGAAAAGGGTATTAAAAAGCTGATACTATACCCCTATATTTTCATATGTAGAATGATTCACAGCCAAACAAAAACGAGAACACCACCTCAAGAAGCTCATCTCATTGCATTTGCTTGGAGTAAGCAAGCTCAATTTAAGAGAAAATGAAAATTTTCAATTCTGATCAACTTTCAGTGAATTTGGTACACTTATCAAGTCAACAAAGTACTCTACCAAATCTAGTCCACTCAAAAATTGCCTATTTTAGTACATTTGTTGCAGACTTATATAAAGGGCAGCCCGGTGCACTAAGCTCCCACTATGAATTTATGTGTACAAACAAGCCTTAAGACTTGATCAATTTCCATTTCTAAGCAAGCCAAGTAAGAGCCTTGAGTTATAGAATGTTGGTAAGAAGTGACACTTCTATTTATTTTATATTAGGTCTGCAATGGGTATCGGAAACAGCCTTTCTACCTTCAAAAGGTAGGGGTCAGGTCTGCATACACACTACCCTCTCAGACTCCACTTGTGGGTGGGTTTTTTGTTGTTGTTGTTGTTAGGTCTGCAATAGGTCACTTCTTCTCAAGGCACACTAACGCTTTAGAAATGCAGACAGGAATGCAGGAACTATGAGAAATGCTTACTTGGGATCTCCGAGCCTCAAATTGAGGTTTAATCAGAGTAACTAAAGTAGCTTCTTCCTTCATCAAATTGACAACTGCAGGCATAACCTGGATAGGGGAAATGAACATTTGAGTATTACTAGGTATTAACCAAGAGCATCTATATATGAAACATTGCTGATCTACCGTCTATAGATATGGAACAACCTAAATTTATATGATAAACCGTTAATGTAGGAAGCTGCATCAAAGAAATTACATTGGAAGCATTTCCGGATGAAAAAGCTTACCAGAAGTATAGAAATAAAGGAGAGGTCCAAAGTTACTAAATCGACTTTTTGTGGGAGTTCGGAAAGGTATCTCAGGTTTGTACGCTCAATGACACTTACACGCTCATCTCGGCGAATTTTATCTGCCACCTGTTAAGAAATCAGCAAGCCTTTTGAGAATGAAGAAATCAGCAAGCCTTTAAAATTTAAAATTTAAATAACCAAATGGTCAGCCGATTTGGAATAGATCCAGGGCCGCTTGGCAACTAATAAAACTCAAAGTGGTGAAACATGTCTCTAGCTGCCAAAACAAGAAGGAAAATCTCATTACTCAGGATTTAGTGAGCTGTTGAACTTAAATTCAGAGCATACTGAAAGATATTTAAATGATGTTACATTCTATTGATTTCTAGTTCAATGCTCTAGGATTTTAGTCTCTAGACATCTCAAATTTGAGGACCTGGGACCTTACTTTGTGATTGATGGAGTAAATACCAGTAAAAGAAAATCTTAAAAATAAAAGCTTACAGAGCAACAGCTTTTATTTCTGGTGGATGTTACCTGTCCATATCCTACATCAACTCCATAGACAAATGAAGCACCATACTGAAGTAAACAATCAGTAAATCCTCCAGTAGACAAGCCTGAATCAAGAGCTACTTTCCCTGCAACATCAATCCCCAGATTTTCAATAGCAGCCTCCAGTTTATGTCCTCCCCTGAGTAAACATCAACAATCAAGTCAATTAGCTGCAGAGATCTCAGCAAAGTATGATGTCAAAAACAAAAAAATATAAGCTCAGAGAAGGAAGATTCACCTGCACACATATTTGGGAACTTCAGCCATGATCTCCACAACAGCTTTATCAGAGATTTGACTCCCTGCTTTGTTAACGACTTTTCCGTCCACAAGCACTTTGCCTAAGCTAGAAGATTGTCAGGAGTTACAGAGATGGAGGCACAGAGACAAAAGCAAATCAACCTCTAGTTAGGATATATCAACTTGACAGCAAAGTGGAAGCAAAAAAGTACAGTAAGTTGTAAAGCCGACAAGAAGAGAAGGAACTCGAAGAAAACACTATAAGATGATTTGGATTAAGTCTATGATTACAGATTAATGAGCCTGAATGGGAGCTTTACATTGTCTCGGGTTGAGATGCCTCATAAAACAAAAGATTGAGAGACACTAAAGAGTCTGAAAAAGAAATAGAGACATTCTCTTCAGGAAGACCAATAACATACACGTACAACTATTGACATCTGAAAACAATATTTTAGCATTGACGAGAGATGTGTTAAAGAATTAGATTTTCTGAAACATTGCGTCTGGAAAGTTTCAGTCTCTACTGTCAACTCTACTAGTGTGATGATGCTCTATCTAATGATAGCTAGACTATTCTTAAACAGACTCTACTCAAGCAGTGCTATTATACCTTGTAACTGTACTACATAGAATAAAAGTCTAACTCTAAACAGTTCTAACCAATTTATAGAACAGAGAACAAGTCTCTTTACTCTACAATGAGCTGTGCAAAAATCAGGTTTTATTACCAAAAGCTCAAGGTCACTGAGCAATCCAGATGTTCTATTTATAATATCAAAGTTTAGTGTCAGATAGGCTTGATGAATAACAACTACCTTGTAGAATCCATGACTGTATAAATGTCCGGCTGTACTGCTGAAATCTCTCAAGACACAGTTCATCCAGTCTCCTTTTCCTAATGAAACCATACGAACACTCAGCAAAATATGATGGTAGGAAAAAGACCAAAAGGTATCAATAAAATAACATACACGAACCTTACAAAAATTAATAATGACACACACAAAGAGCTTAGACCTTTGTTTGAGGAATTAGCTAAAAGAGTACCAGTCCCGAGCAGAAGTAAGGACAACCCTTTTCCAGAGCCCAAAAAGAAAAGAAAAACTCTGTTGATTGATGCCATCACTTAGTAGTTGATAGACCCAAGAACCATATATGTTGGTAAAGCATACTTAGTTCACATCTAGTGTTTTGATTTTTGCTAATATGGGTTTTAATATTGCAGTTGATTCATAGCATGTTATAGTATTCATTAGTTTGTGACCTCGGTATGTACTATTGCAATATGCTTAGATTTCGTGCCCCATCTATAAGGAATAGAAGAACGAATTTTGACCAAAATATTTACTTTTGGCTCAATAATTCAGTGGTGTGCTATTTTTAGGATAATACCAAAAATATGCAAATCGCATATGTGAAATGAGAATGCTAAAAGCTCAAAATTGACGGACGCCATTAGGAAAAACACCAACACAACGTTGTTAATTGCATCTTTGACCAAAATGTGCATTCTTTTAAACATAATTTCAATAGTCCGTAACTTATTACTGTATTTATATGGTTAGAGTTATATGGATACAAGAATCTTCCTTGATCAGTTATGCTTAAATACGTATTAGTGCATATATTTACTACGCAAATCTCATTCGTCAAATGTGAGTTAAGTACATAGTACTCTATCTATCATGAGAATGCATTCGTACACGTGAACACATCGAAGCAAATTTAGAAAATGTGCAATAAGAAAATACATACTATAAAGGCGACTAAAGTACAATAATGCTTTGTTAAGCACCTAAGAATTCTACAATTGAATAATTCGCTGCCAAACCTGTTAGGGAATCTACACAAAAAATTGGCAAAAACAGATATGCTTCTGGCGAAACTCAATTTTAACTTTGAGTTTAATAAAACATATTATCTCATGTGATTTATCTTTAAGACATCACTTATGTTTAGCTGGTATATAAGCACCTGTTTTTTGTACTTTTTTTAAAAAGCTGCCAACTCTTGGAATAATGTTCAAAAGAAAGCACATTTTGGTCAAAGATTGAAGACGAGTAAATTAACACGAAACCAGAAACAAGAGAGAAATATTACTTTTTCTTTGGTTGACCCTTGTACGTGGTCAGGGAAGCAAACGTTCTTACAGAATGATGATCGCGGGCTTTGAACACGATCCATCTCGCTGATCAATAACACAGAATTTTATCATCAGAATCTTATGTCGTATAAATCCACCAAGAAAAAGTAAAAATATAAGCTCAATACAAAAAACGGATATAGAACTTAAGCCCCGCGTAGCAGCTGGACATGAAGAGTGGGAAAATGCCATCTTTTCAAAACCAATTTTAACAGAGACTTGTGTTGTGATGTAAAACAAGTGAAGAAATGAGTTCAATTTTAAATGTACCAGAGAGCTCTGGAGTTCTGAATGGTAATTTGCAGGAGAAAAAGAAGCTATTGCTGGAGCTGCAAGCACAGTAACAGCGTGATATGATGGGTAGCTTCAGTATTTGAAGCGCCATTTTCTCTGACCTCTGCAAGGAAGAGGAGATTAGGAGAAGCGCGTCGAGCTTTTGCAAGGACTAGCTTTTTGGGTTTAGCGGCCCACTGGATAGCACCTCAATAGCGGTGATTTGCACAAATATGGTGCCACCGTTGAGATTTTAATCTTATTAAAACAAATTATAAATTGGGAAAATAATCTGTCATAATTTTATTTTAAGGCATACTCACGATTTGTCGAAAAATTTAATCGAAATTTAGCCATTTTTCATGTAAAGATAAATTTGAACGAAAACACTGTTCAAAATTCGAAAAAATAGTATAATATATTGAAAGATAGACGAGGATTAGAATTTCTCACCAATTGTCATAATTGGCCACATAACTGATTTGCAAATATATATCTGACCACAAATTCTGACCATCCGCATAAATCGTCATACAACAACAATAACAACCCAGTAAAATCTTATTAATGGGGTCTGGGGAAGGTAGTGTGTACGCAGACCTTACCCCTACCCCAAAAGAGTAGAGAGGTTGTTTCCGAAAGACCCTCGGCTCAAGAAAACAAAAAGACAAAAGGACAAAAAGAGACAGTATTAGTATCACCACAACAATCATAAGAAAATAGGAACACCATGAAATGCAGAAGAAAGATGCAAAGCAAAAGCGATAGCTAGTAAATAGGACATGCACTGAAAAGCGAAGTAGTAAAACACAACATTGTCACTAGCTATCTTAGACAAAAACCCTACCTGACTAGTCCCACAATGGTACGAAGTAAGTCAAGACTCAACTACATCCTAACCTACAACTCTAATACTCGACCTCCACATCTTTCTATCAAGTGTCATGTCCTCAGAAATCTGGAGCCTCGCCATATCTTGTCTGATCACATCTCCCCAATACTTCTTAGGCCGCCCTCTACCTCTTCTCGTGCCCTCCACAACCAGCCGCTCACAACTCCGTACCGGAACATCTGGGCTTCTCCTTTGAACATGTCCGAACCATCTAAGTCTCGCTTCCCGCATTTTGTCATCAATAGGAGCCACGTGCACCTTCTCCCGAATAACATCATTCCTAATCTTATCTATCCTAGTGTGCCCGCACATCCACCTCAACATCCTCATTTCTGCTACTTTCATCTTCTAGATATGTGAGTTCTTAATGGGCCAACACTCAGCCCCATACAACATGGCCGGTCTAACTATCGCTTTATAGAACTTACCTTTGAGTATTGGTGGCACTCTCTTGTCACACAAGACTCCAGATGCTAACCTCCACTTCATCCATCCTACCCCAATACGGTGTGTGATATCTTCGTCGATCTCCCCTCCCCCCGGATAACCGAACCAAGGTACTTGAAGCTGCCTCTACTCAGGATAACTTCTGATTCAAGCCTCACATCCACGCCCACTTCCCCTGGCTCAGCGCTGAATTTATACTCCATGTATTCCGTCTTCGTCCTGTTCAGCTTGAAACCCTTAGACTCAAGAGACTGTCTCCAAACCTCTAGCCTCTCGTTAACACCGGCTCGCGACTCATCAATCAGAACTATGTCATTGGTGAATAGCATGCACCATGGCACCTCCCCTTGAATATGGTGTGTTAACACGTCGATCACTAGGGCGAATAAGAACGTACTAAGCGCAGAACCTTGGTGTAACCCCATTACAACCGAAAAATGCTCAGAGTCGCCTCCTACTGTCCTAACCTGAGTCTTAGCCCCATCATACATGTCCTTAATCGCCATAATGTAGGGAACCGACACACCTTTTACCTCCAGGCATCTCCAGAGAACTTCTCCATGAACTTTGTCATACGCATAAATCGTCATAATTGACCATAAATTCTAACTATTGTCATAATTGTTGTGCAAAACTTTTACCATCATGTTTTGCTTCTAACGTTGATCTAAATCAACTCCAAATGACTACTAATTTAATATACAACCTTCTAATATCAATTTCAACAATTTTTAGTGGTTAGGTCAACTTAAACTTCCAAAAATGAAGATCCACCTTGGCTATTTTAATAAGTTTTTATTCAAGCAAAAATAAAAACCAATAATGGTATTTTTTAATTTTCTCTGGGGGTGGCATTCGATACTTCAGTTCGGTATTTAACAACTTCGGTTCGGTATTTCGATATTCGGTTTATCAATTGTGTATATCGAATATCGTACCAAAGTAATTCGGTACGGTTCGATATTTCTTATTTTGGTTCGGTACGATTTCGGTTTGATACATATTCATGTGTCACGTACTACTAAGTGCTAAGAGCCTAAGTAAGCAGAAACAAAATTACAGTGCATTCCTAAAGCTAAAAGGAAAATCTTTCCGAAATGAATCAAATCCAGAGGCATAGCACCACTAAAACCAAAAATGGACTGCAAAATGATATTGAAAACTCTGAGCAGCGAGGTACTTGAAAGGTAAAAGAAGTAAAGAACTTATCACATCAAGCTAAGACGAAGGCCATCGTATGCCTCGAGCAAAAAGGTTATAAAATTCATTTGGACCACGTCCAAGTTGAATAAATCAACAAATTGCCATATAGCCAGATGCACCTGATTATGTGCAAAATAAGGAACTAAGAAACTGGAAACATTAGCTATCAGTAGTAACGAACAGCAACCCAGCAGCAGAATTTCTAACCCACCAGCAGAATTTCTAATTCAAGTTTACACTTTACACATATGCAACAAAAACACAGATGCATCACACTTGAGAGTCGTCAGCGCCGAGGTCGTGAAGTCGCTGTGACGCCATCTCTATTGCACTCATAGCCGATCTGTTCTTCACTTCTTTCTTGAGACTCGAGAGAAACCTAATTCTAATTCCTATCATTAGAAACAAGGAAAATAGACTAATAGCCTGTTTGGCCAAGCTGGAAAAATCAGCTTATTTTGAGAAATATTTTTTTTTAAAGTGCTTTTCAAAAAAGTACTTTTGGAGAAAAGCAGTTTGTGTTTGGCTAATCAATTTGAAAAGCACTTTTGAACAATAATTTGTGTTTGGCCAAGCTTTTCAAAAAGTGCTTTTAAGTGTCAAATTACAAATAAGGACATGAAGAGATTTGTTTAATAGTTAATATTATATAAATAGATAAATAATTATAAATATTTATTATTAAAGATAATAATTAAGTTTTTTATTTTATTTAAGTAAAATATAAAAATAAAATTAAAAAGTACTTTATTCTTTCAAGATAATTTAAATATATCAAAATATCATTCAATAAATATGAAAGTTCATCCCAAAATTTATTTTATATTACTTAATAGTTTAAACTAAGTAAGGTTATTTTGGTATATATAATATTTTGCAAAGGGTAATTTTGGAAGGAAGAAAAGTCAAAACTGCTTCTGCTTCTGGAGAGAAGATACTTTTTTCTGCTTCTTCAAAACTGCTTCTGCTTCTAACCAAAAGCACTTTTTTTCTCAAAAAAAGGTTGGCCAAACACCTCAAATTGAGGGGGAAAAAACACTTTTTGAAAGAAAAAAGCATTTTTGGCATGGTGAGAAGCTTGGTCAAACAGGCTATAAGAGAATAAGGGACTTGGGCTTAGTCTTATTGGGCTAGAAATACAAACTTAAAATTTTGGGTTGGGCTAGGACAGTGTAGGACTAGGATAGGAATTAGGAAGCACATGAAATACTTTAAAATTTTGGTATTTCGGTATTTTGGTATACCGAAATATCAAAATCTGAATATCGAGGACCGTACCGTTATACCAAAAATTTAATACCGAATTATACTGAAATACCGAATTAATTCGGTCCGGTTCGAAATTCGATTTTTCGAATTTTATGCCCACCCCTAAATTTTTCCGGCCAAATCATTAAAGATAGATAATATAAGCTCAACAGAACATTATTCACTCAATTCTAATTACAAATAAATAATAAATCTCTATTTTTCTATACTATATATTTTATTATTTTTAAAAATTTTAGTTGTATACTTATAATTAATTAGAAAGAAAAAAGAGAGGGAGAAAGGAAAAGGAAAAAAATGTTGAAGGATGAAACAGCAGAAGAAGAAGATGCAAAAGAAAGAGGAAGGAGGGGAAGACTAATATAGCGAAGATTTTTTTAATGGAGTCAAAAATAAGAATAACAGCAATGGAGTAGGGAAAACTATTTTTTTATGAAAACTAAAAGTGAAAGTGAAAGATAATGAAAATGTAAGAACAACTCCACATAACTCCAGCAATATGTGTTGGAGTTGTTAGAAAAAAATAATATGATGAAATAATCTGGTTTCGATAGTGTAATCATTGTCCTTAAGGAATTAACTCAAATTTCTCACAAGAACAAAATATTTATGAGTTGTAGAAAATAAGTAGAAGAGAAAGAGATGGAAAGTTTCGGATGATTTCGATGATATGAGTATTTATAATACCTCTAAGAGTCTGTTGGAATTAACAGTCTCATCTTTTCATAACAGGTACATTTTTAAAACCAATAGTTACCTTTTTGAATTTAAAAAGAAAGCTGTTAAAAAACGTTATCTAAATTTAATTTAAAAAATATTTTAAATTAATTAACAAAATAATAGATGACTAAAATTATTAATTTCGGACTATTTAATAGGCCCAAAGCCCAAGTGCCTAAGTGCCCAATCTTGACTATTAATAATACAGTCAAATTTTCAATTTCCCTCCAAAATATCCTTTAAAATATTCAAATTATATAAGACAAAGAAGTGCTTTTAAACACTTCTTCCTTTCTTTCATTTTTTAATGAGGGACAAAACAACCTCTTCTCAATTACTCCCATCAACACTAACTAATCTAACAGGAGTTTCACCTTTAAAAGTGTCAAACTCCAGCATATGGTATTGGGTTTTCATCTGTAGAGTAATTTTTGAACTCCAATATAATATACTGGGGTTCCTCCTGTCAAAGTTTTGAAATCCAACACCGACTACTGGAGTTGTGTTTGTGTTTTAGTATTGGAGATATATTTTTCTAAATAATTTTTCGTTTTAAAGGAATGGCTAAATGGTAAAAGTTTTTTAAATACTGGCTAAACCTAGTAGAAGGGGTTTATAGTGGCTATTTACAAAATATTTCACCTTAAAGAGTAATCAAACATATGCTTCTTTTTCTTCTAAGCAAGTGAATACACATACATAATTTTGGAACTTCA